ATAGGATTTATCGGGTCATACTGCTTGGATCAGCACATGTAGCAAGACTATTCCCAAGTACTTTATATTCCCGACATAGTCATACTATGATTTGCCCATAATCCAAGAGGCCCAGCAGTTTGGTAACTTACAGTGTTTTCAGAGGGGTGTACTGACGTTTAGGGGTTTGGAGTAGTAAGTTACATGGGCGCGTAAACCATTCCAACTCCAGACCCTTGGCTACCAGAAGTTGCAGCTGTAAACGTGCAACAGAGCACGTCGAGTGTAACATACGAGAAGCTTGGCGAGGTGGTCACCGAGGTCGGGATTGTAGTGTTGCCACGTCATGTATGTGCCGTTGCTGCAGGCCGAAGTCGCCATAAGATCATAAACCCTAAACCCTAAGCGCCTAAACCCTAAAACTTCATGGGCGTGAGCTCTCCCCTAGACGCGAGACTACAAGTTCTCCGTGCAGGTCGCTGGGGCCGAATTGTGCGAAGCTTGCGCAACTTCAGCCGTGCGCTGTTGCAAGACGCTTCGGACACAGAAGGGGCTCCTTGACTTGCGAATTGCATAAGAACTAGCAGTAAAGGACGATAGTTAACAAAGATCGGCGCAAGCATAACTATCGCCATGCGAAAACGATGACATGCAAGACCATCGATACAACGAAACATGCAGAATCATAGCAGTTGTAGTATTGTCAATATGCTGAATAGATTCTGGAACCAGTAGCACGTTTCAAATAACAGCTAGCGCCATTGTGGGTTGATGCTACCCAAGAGACCTGTGGTCGTGCAAGTATCTACTGAGATGCAAGTGCGAGCCATTCGTCCCCATGCTGTCAGAGGTTAAGTACCCAGAGGCTCCATAGTAGTTCCTGTTGGGGTGTCATGTTTAGAATTCTATAAGGGAATCCCAACAGGAACTACTATGGAGCCTGTGGGTACTCGCAGATGCTACCAGAGAATGTGGAGGTTAGGGGGCTGGGTGTTATCATTCTCGATTCTTCCGTATCCTACACGTAGCTACGTCATTGTCATCATCATGATCATCCGTCTTCCTCTTCGACCTCAGCAGCAACATTACCGTCATCTTCGTTTATTTCCTGCATCGGCACCCATTGAAGTCGGTGTGCTGGTTTTGTGTTGTTTCTTTTGGGCAGTCGCTCCTTTGAGTGGCCCGTGAAAGCCGCACTGCACATTCGGACAGGAAGCGAAAGGCACGCACGCTTTGTAAAGGCGAGGTGAGATGTCAGACAGGCTGCCAGCAGGATAAGTCATCAAAGGGGGAGAGTTCAAGGGGGTCCTTTTGCAGCCATGGACTCCGCCGGCCAAGGTGATTTTGCCAGAAGATGATGGCTTGGCGGTAGTTTGGCGACGATGTCCTTAGTGAAGTCAGGCCTGAACCGAGCCATCGGCGCCCGGCGTCGCTTCGAAGGGCACAGCCAGGTATGTCATGCTGGAATCCTGGGCGCGATCATGGACAAGGGACATCTCCAGGTTGGATGAGCATACCGGATGGTGATGGCCGCTCACTCGAGTGCTCAACAAAGCAGATGTGTCTGCCGGTTGACCTTGTCAAGCTCAAGGAGGCATTTGCGCGTCAGGCCATGAGTTGGCGGCATTCTTCCCCTAGTGACGACGTGATCTCCGTCTCCGAGTGCGAAGAAGAGGGCTCCGCTGCAAAAAGTTCGAGCGTGTTGGTGTGAGTTTTCAGGATCGTTATAGAGTTTGCCTCACGGTTATAGTATAGCGTGTGAAGCACTCACGTACTCGCATTCGTTGGCGGCTGGCTTTGGCCCCTTGTAGAAACCTGTTGTATAGCGCGTGCTGAAACCAGTGACGGAACGACACGACTGGTACTGCAGTAACTTCTACCTACACTCGTGAGCGAAGTAAAGGATCACCATTGCGCATTGCAGAAGTTGTCCAACTCAACATCGCGCTCTGCTGCTTGAGTATTCCCCATAGGGATCTGGTGGTCGAGGACATGAATCTGTCTAACAACATGTTCAGCAGCACATCGGTCTCATACGAAACACTCCTCATTTGTTCTCACAGCTACGACAAGGTTGATTGCAAGTCCTCTAGGGGTGCTACTCCGTGGAATTTGTTCCAAAGTATAGTGTCCATTTCGTGTGGGTTCCCTTGCCCACAGGGCTAGTCGACGAATGCAAAGGCATCAAGCTGGCGCAGAACACGAAAGCGCACTTAGGCGCGAAACGCGGAATCGCTCGCACTCAGCGAAAACTGCAATGAAATATGTTTTATACCAAGAACACTTACCAAAAGCCATAAAAGCCATGAAGCCCCAACTTTACAACCGAAACCTAACTTTAAGCAAAAGGCCCAGAGGCCCCGAGCCATGAACCGGCAACCATCAAAGTGTCCACCCAGAGAGCCCAATACCCCTTAATTAAGGAATATATGGCTTAAATCATACCATGCGCCCCCTTATAACTTGAGGTATATTGCTTCATTAAGGGGTATTGGGCTCTCTGGGCACAGTGGTGCGCAGGTTGCTCCACCAGGGTTCCGCCGTCTGATCAGCCGGCTTGAGGCAGTGGATTCAGGGCTCTGAGGTTTGTAGTCGTAGTAGTAGTAGTAGTAGTAGTAGTAGTAGTAGTAGTAGTAGCTGGCTTTTGGAGTGGGGCTTCAGCTTTTTTTCAGGATCAGGGCTTAGTTTTCACCATGGAGGTGCATGCATCACACATGGCAAGATTGCTTCTGCAAGAGTCGAAGCTGCTGGATGACAGGCTGGGTCCAAACTGCGGATAGACGACGGCAAGCTTGTTGGGTGGGGTGTTGGGTTCAGGATTCGGAATCCACCTGGGGTACACTTGAAGCCTCGTGTGGAGCGCCCAGCCTTTGTAGCAGGACTCAACCTCCACTTGCCCCCAGGGTGTTTTTCATCCTTGATAACTCCAACCTCAAGCATGAAACCCTGAGTCGTAAAGCCATATGCAAAAACACCGAAAGTCCTCAGCACTAGTGCCCAATACCAGAAACCTGATACCGGAAGGTCGAAGAGAATGCGGACGGCGCGCTGACTCTGCTTCCGATGCCCGAGGACTTGGTGCTTATCGGCCGGGGGCGAGCATTTAAATGTTTTTTTCAAGGATTTGTTGTGCGTTCGGGATGACTTCGGGTTGACATGGCTTTCCTTTAGGGTTAAGTTGTCAGGGGTTACACGCATCTTTGAAGGGCCTCTGATTACAATCGGTGGATCCTCGAACTACCCGGCCTCTTCAGGAGAACTACGACTTCGTCTTCCATGGGACCCAGAAAGCCCAATATCCCTCAAACTATGGAACTTGTCGTGAATTTTGGTGATTATTAGGGGATCTAAAATGTTATGACACAGGGCAAGTTCCGTAATTAAGGGGTGTTGGGCTTTCTGGGGAATCCCCGACGGCATCAGTGGCGAGAACGTCTGAACCCGGGCCCTGGCGACATTCTCCTGTCAAGGGAGCTGGAAAATCACGGGGTTTAGGGTTTAGGGTATAGGGGCCTTATAGGGTTCCTTTAAAGGGGTCTGTCAGGGCTACCATAAGGGCTATTAGAAGGATTTTGAAAATCAAGGGTTTAGGGTTTAGGGACTGGTTCCCACAAAACTTCCCCCAAACCGAGACTCAAACACTTAAGCCTACATAAAGCCTGTAAACTCTCAAGCACCCCAAGCCGTCCGCCAGTTCCCGACCCGAACAAAGCCTATACACACATACGCACATACATGCATGCATACATACAGACATGTACACATGTATAGAGACAGACAGGCATATGGGCGAGAAAGTTGGAACATCATGATCCCAACGCCCTTAAGGTAAAGTCCAAGTAATCCTAGCACTGATCATCATCAACTCAGGTTCCAACTTTCTGAGGTTCACCATACAGTCATGCAGACGTACAGACATAGACAGGCATATGGATATGTGGACGTACATGTATGTATGTATATATATATACATATTATACATATATGCACATATCTACATGTGCCCGAGATACGCATGCACCGGTCATGTGTCTGTGGTGCGCACAACATCTGCTCGACGACCTCCCTAGGCTTGGCATAACCCCAATACGCGAAGTCGCCTAAGTTTCTGCACCTTTATGACCTGGCAGGGTTTGGGGTTTAGGACCGTGCCTGGGCATTAGGGCACCTCATCCTGAAATTCACCGAGACTTTCGGAACGTCTGGGAGTGCCCGAAACTGGTCCCCGAGCGTGGGCCCGAAATAGTAGATCCTATCTCCGAGACCCCAGCCGAGGACGACTCAAGAAATTTTGGGTTCAGGGTTTACGGTTAGGGGTTTGAGGTTTAATTGTTTTCAGAAGCTGCTGCAAGGGTTGAACCTCATGCAGGCCAGTGAACCCAAAAAACAGTAATCCAGTGGTCCACGACAGTAGAGAAAGATGCAGATTTCGTAGCCTTAAAGTCCTTGAAGCCAAAACCCTGACCCCAAACCTCAACGTATCATTCCTTCCTGCAGGTCGGGGCTCAAAGCTTTAGTCCCTTCATGCATACCTTGCAGTCACTGTTTGAGCATGCTACTAAGTTACTATAGTTACTATAAATAAGGCTCATACTACCCAAGGCTTTTATAAGAGTCCCTTTCTCCTGCAGCTCGAGATTGAAGAAGTCAGTGTAAGGTCACGAAGCTATATACAGCCACACATCAGTGAGTTCATATACACCCATTTGGGCAGATGTGCTCGCAGACTGGCGGTCAGCTGGTTTCGGGGATCATGATTGAGCTTAGATTGCCCGGTGCATCAGGAACCGGTATGTTGAAGGACTCCGTAACCCGATGACCTCTAAGCCGAAGCTCTTCTGTCCTGAGGCTCTAAATCGCACAAAGTAGCAACTTTAGATATAAATGTAATTATACATGTAATTATACATATGTATATATATATATATATATATGTGTAGATATGTAGTATATCTAGACCTAAGAACGCAAGGTGCTATACTAGGATCCGGTTAGCAGGATTCCGAGCTGTAAGATCTGGGATGGATCAGAGCTTCTCCGGAGCAATCAGGCGCGAAAAGCTGTTTTTGCTTAAGGCGAGTGCAGTTTGGGCTGCTTGGGGTTCAGGGTTTAGGGTGTAGGGGTCAGCGTTTAGGGCTTGTTGCTTAGTTGGGGTTCATGGTTCCGGGATTACACCTGAGCGACAAACTCCAAAGCCATATAGATGTTGAAGGCACCGGTGTAGAATTCCACAAAATCCAGCATAACCTGGAGTGAACGCACTCAGCCGCATGCAACAACCTGTTTCAACCCAGAACACGTGCAAGGATCGTTCCGCAGCAGGAGTGGGTGACTGGGGCCATGGAATCTGGAAGAAGCTCGCAAGAGATGACAGAAAACAGCTATAAACTGCAACGGATGGAAGAAGAGGCATGAGACAGCCATCGCACATCATGCAGCACGGATCGTCGCGGATGATCAGCGGTGTAAACGGGTCGTACTTTGGCAGCGCAGTAGACATGGCAAATCACAGGAGCATGAGCATGACATGACCCATGCTCATGGGCGTTATCTTCGTACTGTGTGAGACCTGACTTGAAGGCTAGGACGTCAATCCTGCAGGGCATTGAAATCTTTCTGCGAGTCATTAGTGCCATTATTCGTAGCATTATTGGTATCCGTTTTAGTATCAGTGTTAGTATTAGTATCAGTGTTTTTGTATTACTATTTTCCAACAGACAACAAGCTTCTCGGTTTAGCCTCTTTTGTGGCGGTATAGGAGCTCCAGTGGTTCCTGACATCATCCGATACTCCTTTGAAGGCGGTACGGGATAAGAGCACAACATGCGCGTGCGACCCTAAGCCCTCAACCCTACCTAGCAGTAGCTCAGCTGCAGGGGCTAATATCACAGAAACTCCTTCAAGGCAAAGCCGCCAGCTCCTGAACAGAACCTCACGAGTTGTATGTTTGGGTGTCGTGCTTGGTGGTATGTTCATGGCCATACTAGATTTATTGGGGAGGGTTGAATGCGCATTGGAGCTCCCTTGCCAGGTAAGCCTGCGAAACGACATCCTGTCGCTAGTTCCAAGTCCTGGTGTCTAAAGAGTTCAGGAAGGTGGAGGCTTTTTGGAGCTTTCCTTCTTGAGCTGAGGATCCTAAGCCTGGTTCAGGCTTTGGGGGAGTTTAGGGTTTAGGGCCCTCCAGATAAGCTCCGGAAAATGACAGTGGTTTGCATCCGAAATTTGGAACTTCGAGGTTTTTGTTTATACCAGGGTGGAGACGGGTATGCGTATAAATGCAACTGCATACACATATATATATTTATATTTATAATATAATATATATAATATGTATATATGTAGATATATGGGTATGTTTATATGAACGTGACTTAAGCTAAGTTCATTAACCAGAACCCGTCCGGAGGTGGGCTGGTGATGCCAGCAAGTGCCTGGACGTTCAGGGCGTGGGTCCCAGCGAGTTAACGGTTTCGGGCGAAGGTCTAGAACAGATTCGCAAGTGAAGCAGCGTTCAGGTTTTTGGCTTCGGGGTATAGCTAGGACTAGTCTCATCCATGGGCTACGTACCTGGTCTAGGGTTTAGGGGTGTAAGGGGGGTTCTGTTTTCATACGAATTCAGGTGTCAACCACCCTTTTCATGGGCTCCAACCGCTGTCAAAACAGGGTCCCTTTTATGGGTGTCGGGCGCAAGGCGGAGGTTTAGGCTGCAGGGTTCAAAATTTAGGGCTCATCTCGCCGAGGTGCAAGCTTCCTAATAGTGAATCGCCAAGTTGCTGCAATGATATCTTTCCACAAGTGCCCTTGAAACGTTCTGCACCTTCTTGCATCTCGATATCCTTCCCCCAATGCTGTACAGTCGTGCTTAATCCCACTCGAAATCGCTGTTGGTGCCTCTCCCCTCTCCCGTAGAAGACGACCCTGAAACACCACTAAACTAAACCTCAAGCCTAAACCCTGGATTCTACACGTTGGCATGCTGTTAGTTGCACCGCAAACCTTCAACCCCGAATCCTGGAATCCGCATACCCAAACCGTGGATCCACCCATGGCTTGTTGACCCTAGACCCGAAACTTGCGAAGTGCTACATGTAGACTCCAAATCCGTGCACCCACAACCGTTTCAAGATCTCGATGGCAGGTTTCATCGGATCTTTGATAGCGGGCTTGCGGGTATCATGTCTGTACATAGTTGGAGGGTCAAGAGCCCTCCATCCTAAACCCCAAACCCTACGCTTCGCCCCGAGCCTCAAACCCTGGGTTTCATAGGACGCAGGGGTTTAGGAACCCTAACTCCTAAACCCTTAAACCCTTAACCCCTAAACCCAAAACCCAAAAACCGTAAACCCCTAACCCGAAGCCCTAAACCCCAAACCCCGGAGCCCTAAACCCTAAACCCAAACCCTGGGTTCCAGGCGGCAGCCCCCTGGTGGGCGCCCACGTGGGGCTTTGGGCCTGCCGCGCGGACCATCCGAACCAGCCAAGAGCTCAGTGATGGGCTTTGCCTGTACATTTTGGGGTTGCTATCATGGTGTACCATGAGGGCTAAGGGCTACAAGTAGGGTTCTGTAGGATTTACTTGGAAAGTTGTGGATGTGAGATTACTGTAATTGAGGCGTTGTTTAGTTTCGGACTTGGGGTGTTGGTTTTGCTGCTTGGCGAAAGTTCATGGATCTTCCGGTTCGGGGTGTGACGCGTTGGGGGCCGGGTGTGTGTAAACTTGGAGTGCGAACTGATCTGCCAGACTCCTTCTCGGACCTTGCGGCTCAAACCCTCTATAGAGCTCATAACTTAGTTCATGTTCATAAGCCAAACCCGCTATGCACAGGCTGCCAGTACGTACGTGTATAATCTCATGTGTATATATATATATATATATATATATATATATATATACATACAGACTTGTGCATGCATGTATGTATGTATGTATGTTACTACACACATATACACATAAACACATAAAATATGTATACATTAACATGCATATGTGTACATGTATATATATATATATATATATATATATGTTTAGAGATGTACATATGTATGTATGCATGCATGCATGTAATCATGTGTGCACGTATGTATGCATGTATGTATGTTTGTTTATGTGTATACAACCATGTATGTTTATACATACTTGTACATATACACATATGGTTATACATATACCTAACTACATGTATGTATGTATATCTATATTTGTATATACAGATGTATCATACATGTTTATGCGTGACCTACCTAAGGACCGTCAGTGCTTCCTAATTCCGACCTTTCGCAGCCGTGGGGTATTTCAGCCACCCTCGTGTCCTCCACGCCGAACAGTATGGAGCTTGATTCAGCAGGGACGTAGGATTCTATAGAGTTGTAGTGTGTAGGGACGTCGGTTTCTATATGGGTTGAGGGCGTAGGGTTTGGGAACACAGGATGCTATATTGGTTTCAGAAAGCATCCAATCGGCCAGCAGCGCCGTCCTCGTGAACGTTCCATGTTTCATCTGGGCCCACTATTTTGAGGGTTGCCGTGAACTTTCTATGTTTCATGTGAGCCCGCTATCTAGAGGGTCATGCCCTGCGCTGTTTTTCCTGGTGTTTGCATCTTTGTTTAATGCTAGTATCGCGTATCGTCAATGTAGTCATGTCGGTACTTTGACAAAAGGTTAAGTATGACTCTCCAGCAACAAAACAGGACCTGATGAATGTCTACCATTGTACCTCGGACTGCCCTAGCAATGTCGAAGAAGCTATGGTCGAATTTAGGCCCCTATCGTTTGTTCGTGCGGTAGATATAGTTTCCCACCAGCTTTGCACTCAGGCAGTTTGCTTGGAGTGAGGAGGATGGCAGGACACTCCACAACCTAAACCCCTAAACCCTAAACCCCAGGCCCTAAACCCTAAAGCCCGCACCCTAAGCCCTATAAACACCCTGAGCCCTGAACCGGGTAACAGCGAAATAATGAGTTCTGGAGGCCGGAACACCCTGAACTTGGACTGATTCCAAGTCTCTTAAGCGTTCGATAGCGTTCATTGGTATAAGTTCAGGATGACATACCCCTAAACTCCCTAAACCCTATTCATAGTTTTCAGGCCCCCTACATTTAAACTGTGTTGCACCCTGAAGCTCAAGATGTTTATTCCATCTTGAAGGGCTTCGAGTGAGCATGACAAAGAGAGGTGTCAAACAGGCTTCGAACATGTCGGCCAGATACACGTTCGCCGGTTCGGTTTTGGGATGTCTCTTCGGATTGTGTTTTGAATTGATTGGGTTTCAAGCTTGTCCCAGGGGCGTTGTAGGAGTCAAAAAATAGATACACCGAGAACCCTAAACCCTTCCCGATCAAGCCCTTGCTGACCAAACCCTTTCTGAGCTGAACATCCACATCCGATCATCCCAGAGAGCCCAATACCCCTTAACTAAGCAATATACCTTAAATGAGAAGGGGCCGCATAATGTGATTTAAGCCATATTCCTTAATTAAGGGGTATTGGGCTCTCTGGGACATCCTAACTCACGAAAACTTACCAGGGCGCGGTCTTCCTAAACTCTCAAGAATCATGAGAACACACGTACCCCCTCGTAAAGACCCTACACACCATCGTAGAACCGTCTTGCAAATCCGGATAGAACCTTTGTAGGAACCCTCTAGACAACCCCACCGCCGATATTACTTATATATATATATATACACACATGACGTACCTATGCAAACACGTACTTACAACTTACGTATGGAATACATACATGTACAGATACATATATACACACATATATATATATATATATATGTTTACACATAGTCACATAGTGTTTGTATGTTGTGTGTGTGTGTGTGGTTATATGTGTCGATACATCTCGATGTTTGTATATGTATATGTATATGTATATATGGTACCCCCCCCCAAAGATCCACACTGTTTGGCTCCAGGGAGCATATATATATATGTATATGTATATATATATATATAAATATAAATATATATATATATATATATATATATATGTATATATATATATATATATACATATATATACATATATATTTATATTTATATTTATATATTATGTGTATTCATTCATGACTGGGAGGATACGATGGCTCACCTATCCCTCGCTCTGTCTCACGGCGGCTGCTCCAGGAGCGCCTTGTGGATTGAGAGGTTTAGGGCTTTAGGGTTTAGGGTTTTAGGGTTTAGGGTTTGGGGTTTAGGGTTTAGGTTTTTAGGATTTAGTAGGGTTTTAGGGTTTAGGGTTTTAGGGTGTAGGGTTTTATGGTTTGGGGTTTATGGACCTCACTGATTAGACATTTCACTAGGCGAGGGTTTCAGATTTTCGAGGGTGTGGGGTTCAGGGTTCTAAGGTTTTGGGTTTCAGTTTGGGACCTAAACAATAGAATCAATAGAATCGGATTTTTGAAGAATGTTGTTAGGGTTACTGCAAGGTGTTTTGAAGGGGTTATTGTGCTGCAACGTCAAGATCATTGAACCCTAAACCCTAAACCCTAAACCCTAAACCGTGTCGGGGCCTGGTTCATGGGAGCAAAGTGCTGCTGCAGTTTATGTTTTTTGATATGCAGTGGGCTGGGCTGGAGGATTCTATCATAATTGTTGTGTGCTCGGTTCGAGCCCCTGTTTGCAGGTTTCAGGTTTTGAGGGTTTGGGGAGTTTAGGGTTTCATGGTTTGGGGGTTCTGGTTCTAAGGTTTGGAGTTTTAGGGACGGGGCTTTTACAGGTTTAGGATCCCGTGGTCCTCGTGGTAGTGGGAGTGTCGGAGAGGCAGATGGATGATCACGGCAAAAGCAATCAAGTCGAATGACGGCATCAGCAGGGCAGTGATACCGAGTGCAATATGACGACCATGATGCAGATGGTGAAAGCGAATCAAATACAATCATGATGACACAAGAAGTACAGAAAGCAGACTATAATTGCTTCGCTCTCCCTGCTGCCACCATCCGCCCGCCTGAACTTTCGCTGCATGCCTAAAGCCTAAACTGCCTAAGCCCTGAGCATGCAGGCTCCCCGATTCAACTTGATTTGTGCAATTCTCCGACAGCGGCCTTCGACGCAGCGGCCCACGGCACGAAGGCTGATTTTTTGCGTTCGTACCCTCGAATTTTGAATGCCGAAGCACAGACACTGCACACTTCAAGGCCCAGGGTTGGGTAAAATGTAGGGGCTTTAATATTCATCCATACTATTTTGGGGGCTCCTTCTTTTACTTGTAGTATAATGGGCCCGAAAGCCCTATTCTAATTATTAAGGCCCCTATATTAGGTTCCACGGCTCTCCTTATTTCTGATAGGGCTTAAGGCTTAAGGTTGGGAGTCCAGTGGCCAGCGATTCGTTCTACGAGGTGGTCGCATCATGCCATGCGCTGCATTGCATTGACAAGCCAGCAGCGACATGTGGCTAGGAAGCGAGATCCTAAGCATAGTGCAGTACAACAACTTTTGCACTGCATCAGTTCAGTAAAATTTGCTTAAAGCTTCGAGCTCTCATTGCCGCATACATAGTTTAGGCCCAACATTCGAGCTCATACGTCAATTAGCAACACTGGCGCGAGAGCGAGCTGAGCGACTTGCTTCTGATCCGGTATTTACTTGGGGAATTTTCCGAAAATACCCCAATATATTACCCTGAGTAGTAGGATCCTTATCATAAGGACACCAACATAAGGTAGTACTAAACTCCCACTTCTCTGCGGGCTTGGAATATTGAAAGTCTGTCAGGCATGCGAGGGTGCTAGGCCCAGGCACTAAGCAGTTTTCTGGGGCTCTTGCCCATGCGCACGGATGGCAGGCCATCTGTACATCTGAAGGGGTCTGCATGACCGTCCAGGACACGGAGGACGGGGAGGATTGCTTTGGTTGATTGTGGACTGGGTCCGATGGCCGTTGCATCTAGTATGAAAAACCTATGTGTTACGTGAAGCTTCCAGGTCTGTAGCTTAAGATGCAGGTTGGCGAATCATGCAAGTGAGCGACGAGCAGTGTCTCCAGAGCGTGCGTGCCTGGGCATCTGCCCTAAAGCAAGACAAGAAGCTTTGTGGCACTTGGTGTGGCTGATGCTCATGATGCTGGGCTTGGGCGGTGCCTTGTGTGGCAATCGTAGCTGCTGATGCGCTTGGGTCTGGGTGGTAACAGCCGCGGCTGATGCTCATGTTGCTCGGCTTGGGCGGTGTGGTAATTGTAGCTGCTGATCTGGGTGGTAACAGACGTTGCTGATGGGCGGTGCCTTGTGTCGTAATTGTAGCTGTTGATCTTTGTGGTAACAGACGCTGCCGATGCTTATGATGCTCGGCTTGGGTGGTGCCTTGTGTGGCAATTGTAGCTGCTGATCTGGGTGGTAACAGACGCTGCTGATGCTCATGATGCTCGGCTTGGGCGGTGCCTTGTGTGGTAATTGTAGCTGCTGATCTGGGTGGTAACAGACGCTGCTGATGCTCATGATGCTCGGCTTGGGTGGTGCCTTGGGTGGTAACAGACGCTGCTGATGCTCATGATGCTCGGCTTGGGCGGTGCCTGGGGTGGTAGCAGACGCTGCTGACGCTCATGATGCTCGGCTTGGGTGGGGCCTTGTGTGGCAATTGTACCTGCTGATCTGGGTGGTAACAGACGCTGCTGATGCTCATGATGCTCGGCTTGGGTGGTGCCTCGTGTGGTAATTGTAGCTGCTGATCTGGGTGGTAACAGATGCTGCTGATGCTCATGATGCTCGGCTTGGGTGGTGCCTTGTGTGGCAATTGTGGCACGCTGCCGATGCTCATGATGCTCGGCTTGGGTGGTGCCTTGTGTGGCATTTGTAGCTGCTGATCTGGGTAGTAACAGACGCCGCTGATGCTCATGATGCTCGGCTTGGGTGGTGCCTTGTGTGGTACTTGTAGCTGCTGATCTGGGTGGTAACAGACGCTGCTGATGCTCATGATGCTCGGCTTGGGTGGTGCCTTGTGTGGTGATTGTAGCTGCTGATCTGTGTGGCAACAGACGCTGCTGATGCTCATGATGCTCGGCTTGGGTGGTGCCTTGTTTGGTAATTGTAGCTGCTGATCTCGGTGGAAGCAGACGCTGCTGATGCTCATGATGCTCGGCTTGGGTGGTGCCTTGTGTGGTAAGTGTAGCTGCTGATCTGTGTGGGTAACAGCCGCGGCTGATGCTCATAATGCTCGGCTTGGGTGGTGCCTTGTCTGGCAATTGTAGCTGCTGATCTGGGTATTAACAGACGCCGCTGATGCTCATGACGCTCGGCACGGTGCTTGGGTCTGAGTGTTAACAGCCGCGGCTGATGCTCATGATGCTCGGCTTGGGCGGTGCCTGCTGCTGATTTGCAAGCTGTTGCTTGGGCAGCACGTTGGTCTGGATGTAGCAGCCGCAGCTGATGCTGATGATGCTTCGCTTTTGGTGGTGCTGCTGACGGGCTCGGCTTGCTCCACAGTGTTTGGATTGCAATTGCGGTGGCTGATGCTCGTGATGCTCGGCTTTGGCGGCACTTTGGCTGGGTAACTGTCGCTGACGGATTTGGGCATCGTTTTGATTTGGGTGGTAGCAGCCGTGGCTGATGCCCATGTTGGTTGACTGCGTGGTAGCTGCCGCCACTGATGCTTGTGATGCTTGGCACCTTGGTGCCGCTGATGCGGCAAGACGTTTGGCGGCGCTTCGGGCGACAAAAGCTACGGTGGTGACTGCTGGTCCTAATGCTTACGATCGATGCTCAGCTGGGCGGCGCGTTGTGTGGCAAAATTTCCGCTGCTGAGGCTCATGATGCTGAGCACTGTCGCGCTTGATGCTTGGCTCCAGGGATTCTTTCGGTGACAACGGCTGATGCTCGTGATGTTTGGGTAGTTGTTGCGGTATTCCCGGCATGGGTAGCGCTGTGTTGAGTCATTCATAAATGCTCGTGATGCTCGCCTTGGGCACATTGTGTGTGGTAGCTGCTACGGCTGATGCTCATGAGGGTTGACAGTCGCGGTTGATGCTCTTTTCTTTGCTATGGCTCATGCTCATGATTCGCGGCATGGGATTGCCGCAAAAATGATGCTCATGATGCTGGTGGTTTTTTGTGGTACCAGCCGCGGCCGATGCTCATGATGCTCGGCTCAGAGAGGGACTGACTCTCAGAATGTTCGGTGATTGGCATTGTGTGGAAGTGCGGCAGATGCCCATGATGCTAGGTGTTGTTTTGTAGCGCCGCTGATCATGCTAATGATGTTCGATTTGGTTTCATTACGCTCGTGGTAATTGCCGCGGCTGATGCTCTTGGCCGACACTTTGGTGGTAACCGTCACGCCTGATGCTCATGATGCTCTTCTTGGGCGGCACTGTGTGTGGTAGCTTCCGCCGATGATGTTTGTAATACTCGGCTTGGAGGGCCTGTTGGGTGGGAACAGCCGGGTGATGCTCATGATGTTTTTTTTGTCGTTATGGTGCCGCTGAGATAATCTTGGTTGGCGGTGCCTTGGGCGTTTACAGCCGCGGCAAATGCTCATGATGCTCGGACTTTGGTGCCCATTTTTAGGCCATGATTCTCGGCATGAGTAGTGCTGTGGGTGGGAGCCACTGTCGCTGACTCTCATGCATTTGGATGGCGTTTCGTACAGCCGGTCTTTTGGTGACTGGACTGGGCCTGCTGACTCTAATGCTTCTCTGTTTGGGTCGTTGCCGTGGCTGACTGCAGCCAACAGCGAGCCCCGGCAGTTACCACCCAAAGCACCGCCTATGGCGTGCTGCCGTCACATTTTGCTTCCCTGCCAGTCGCAGTAGTACTACCCGCCTCCACAAGCTTAGCCTGCTGATAGTACTACCAATGCACCACCACTACTACTACTGCTGCAACTACTTACTACTGCTGCTAGTATTACTACTGTCGTCGTCTACGACAACGACCACGACTATACCCTTGAGATGCTACGACGACGACTCTTCCCACTGCTACTGCTACTTCTACTGCTACTGCTACCACAGCTGCCGCCGCCACCCCAAGTGCCACCGTCACCACCACCACCACCACCACCACCACCACCACCACCACCACCACCACGACCACCACCACCACGACCGGGACAACGTCTACGACCAGGTGACCACTACTGCTGCACGGCTGCTGCTGCTCCCTTAACACTGCGGTGACAACTTTCTTGGTAGTAGCACTGATTGACAATCAGCACCCGCTACAATGGCCTGTGCAGCACTACGACTACGATTCGGCTGTTTCTGCCACACCATCATCGGCAGCAGCACTACCATCATCGTCTTCGTTGTTGTTTTCATCGTCGGTAGAGTTCCACCACGTTGGTGAAATCTTGCTTTTGCTGGCATCGGCTCTCATTGTACGTATGCCTCGGTTCTGATTCTAACGACAAAAACCCACAACGGCTGTTGTGCCCAGAGACTCCAATACCCCATGATTAAGGAACATTCCTTACATCGTATTAGGGATCCTACTATAATTTAATGTCTATTCCTTAATTAAGGTATGTTGGAGTTCTCTGGGTGAGAGAACCTGGGGAGGGCGAAAAAAGTATTTTCCTTAATTAGGGTATACTGGAGTTCTCTGGGTGAGAGAACCTGGGGAGGCCCATCCTGTGCGCGATGGTAGCCCAGTGATGCTGGGGGAGATGGCGGCCAAAGCACCTTGGCGGCCAAAGCACTTCCGGTCCGAGAAATTTGGGAGTTTCCGAAACTAGGGGTACCTTATTTTGGGGTCTTTATAGTAAGGATCCTACTATTTTAGTATACTATATTAGGGTCCCCCATTTTCGGAAACTCCCATTTATTCTGCTTTAAGATTTCGGCTTTGGGGTGGACATGGGGTCAGTTTCTGCTTCCAGTCGTTGGTACGCCTAAGTAGCTTTACACGAAGTCGTAGGGTGCGTTGACCGCGTACAGCATGAATTTCAAAATCCGGTAGGGGTCGTGAGACATCAGGCGATGTCGTTTCCTCTTCCGCCCATGCACGCCATGAGTTTCTTGTAGTCACCACGGGAACTTTCTCTCTCATCTTTTAAATTGGAACGGCCTTCGGAGGCCTCGGCTGTTTCCAAAGTTGCAGTGAGGCTTTCATCAACTTCGGTTCTTGCACTATCACGCACTTGAACTTATCGGTGCAACTACGAGCCCGAGCCGCCTGAGCCTGTTTATCATGTAAGGAGAGCCGGGGAGCCTGACTGAGGATTTGCTGCACCCTTCAGCTGCATGGTTGCCGAAGACCCAGCTTCCTAGGTTCAGTCGAGATGGAAGTTTGAAGGAGCTGCTATGGCTTCGGGTTTGGGGTGCATGGGACACAGACTCTTCTTCTGTCTGCCTGAGTCGCCCTCTCTTGGTCTCTGCCTGCGAACCTTAAAATTTTAAGCGTGGAGGGCGGTTCAGATTACTTGAGCAACGTGTAGAGTTTGGAGGGTTCAGCCTCTGCATGGGGCTTAAAGTTTACAGTCGCATGAGTGGTTGTCAAAGTTATGGTCCCTTTTTTGGGTCCCTAATGTAGCACGGGACCTACTAAGGGCACCCAAAACGGGAGCCTAACGCAGACAACTACCCACATCTTGTCGGGAATATCTTTTCCCCAAGCCCTAAAGCCTACAGTCATGGACTCCCCGCAGATGAGAAGCCAGAGTTCCTTCAATGCGAAGGCCCGGCCTCAAACATAAATCCTCCCCCTGGCTTACCCATAGGCTCCATAGCAGCGCCTTTTGGGGCTTCATATTTATTCCCAAGAAGGAACTACTATGGAGCCTTTGGGTAAAGCCCTGCAGCCTTGAATCCGTAAAGGCCTACATAAGAACCTGAACCCGGAGGCCACCCCAAGCCATTCAACAGTTGCCGTTGCCGGTTTAAGGCTTGGGGTTTAGCATCCCTAAACCCTATAGCCCTACAGTAGCTAAGAAAATCCAAAACCTCAAAAGGTTCCACACCGGTGTTTCCTGCAGCGGCGAGACGTTCTGCTCCCCGAATCTGGGACAGCAAGTTGACAATAGTTTCGTTTTCTCCTGTAGGGCTGAAAAGGGCATGAAGAATTAGCAATGACAATTCTCTGGTACATCTCCAAGCCCCATGTCCAACTATAAATTATGAGTCTGTCGTCACGTTAGGGCTAGACTTCCGACGAAGCTCGTTGCTTCTAGGATTTCGGGTCTCAAGGTTAGGGGTTAGGGGATTCTTGAATTGTCATTGTCGGATTAAGCGGGCAGGCCTTAGTGTTCTTCTTGCTGATGTTTACGTTGAACATAGTTTGCGTTCTGTATACTGGCCTCTTTCACGACCCATCCCCGTGTAA